TCCACCTGCCAGTGCAGGGGACACGGATTTGATCCCTGGTCCGGGAAGATCCCACATGGCACAGAGCAACTAAGCCCATGAGCCACAACTCCTGAGCCCGTGTGCTGCAACTGCTGAAGCCCACGCACCTAGAGCCCATGCTCCACAACAAGAGAAGCCACCGCGATGAGAACCCCGTGCACCGCAACGAAGAGTAGCCCCTGCTCACCGCAACTAGAGAAAGCCCGCGTGCAGCAACGAAGACCCAACGCAGCCAAAAAAAAAAAAATGTGCAAGGACCTGAATAGACATTTCTCCAAAGAAGATATACAAATGGACAGTAAGCACATGAAAACATGATTAACATCACTAATCATTAGGAAAATGCAAATCAAAACCGCAGTGAGATACCACTTAACACCCACTAGGATGGCTACTATCAAAAAACAGAAAATAGCAAGTGTTGGTGAGGATATGGAGAAATTGGAACCCTCGTGCACTGCTGGTGGGAATGTAAAATGATGCTGCCACTATGGAAAACAGCATGGCAGTTCCTCAAAAAACTAAAAATAGAATTACCATACTTTGCACTTTTGGGAATATACCCAAAAGAATTGGAAGCAGAGACTTAAATAGGTATTTATATATTCATATTACAGCAGCATTATTCACAATAGCCAAAAGGCAGAAATAGCCCAAGTGTCTATCAAGGCATGGATAGAACAAAATGTGGCATACCCCTATAATAGAATATTATCCAGTCTTAAAAAGGGAAGAAATTCTGACACATGCTACTACATGGCTGAACCTTAAGGACACTTACGCTGAGTGAAGTAATTCAGTCACGGAAGGACAAAAACTGCATGATTCCATTTATATCAGGTACCCAGAGTAGTCACATTCTTAGAGACAGAAAGTAGAACGGTGGTGGCCAGGGGCTGAGAGGAAGAGGATGGGGAGGAAGTGTTTAATGGGGACAGATTGCCTGTTTGGCAAGATGAAACGAGTTCTGAGGATGGATGGTGGTTATGGTAGCACAACAATGTGAATGTACTTATGCCACTTAGAGCTGTACACTTAAAAATGATTAAGATGGTACATTTTATATTATGTATACTTTAGCACAGGTTTTTTGTTTTTTTTTTAATTTATTTATTTTTGGCTGCGTTTGGGTCTTCATTGCTGCGCGTGGGCTTTCTCTACTTGCAGCGAGCGGGGGCTACTCTTCGTTGCAGTGCGCAGGCTTCTCATTGCGGTGGCTTCTCTTGTTGTGGAGCAGGGGCTCTAGGCGCACGGGCTCAGTAGTTGTGGCACGCGGGCTCAGTAGTTGTGGCTCGCGGGCTCTAGAGCACAGGCTCAGTAGTTGTGGCGCACGGGCTTAGTTGCTCTGCGGCATGTGGGATCTTCCCAGACAAGGGCTCGAACCCGTGTCCCCTGCATTGGCGGGCGGATTCTTAACCACTGCGCCACCAGGGAAGTCTCGGCACAGTTTTTTAAATAAATATTTTTTAAAATGTGATGCTCACTCATGGCTACTACATTTTTGGAATGGACTCCCAAAAGTTAAATTACATAAACAAAGGATCTTTACATATTGCCAAATTATTTTCCAAAAGGATCAGAATAATTTATAGATTTGTTGGCAAGGTTACAACATGCCTTTACCAGTATTAATTATAATTTTTAAAATTATTGCTGATTTGATAGGTGAAGAAATACTTTTTTCATATAATTATTGAGCAGTTATAGTTCTCTTGTAAACTGAATCATTTGAACACTGAGGTCTCAGTGTTTTTCTAATTAATCGCAGTATATTATTAACCTCTTGTAATTATAGCATTTATACTTCCTTTTGATTTTTGGAGGGAACATACAGAAATTTGTAAATTTTTTAATGTGAGGAATATCCCCTCAGGGTTTTTTATCCAGTGTTTTTTAATCATCCTTTTCTGGCTTGAGAATTGATATACTCACTTCCCTTTTCTTCTCAAAGCTGTGGGGATTTGTGGGGGGTATGATTTGACTTTTTAAAAATTTAACTGTGTTTGTTTTTCTATTTAACCCGTCTCAGATTTTATTTTGGTAAGACTTAAATTGACTTCTGCCCACATATAGCCAACCAGTTGTCTGAATAATCTTCCCCTTTCCGTGGATTTGAGCTTCCTTCCTTATCCAAATATTACATTTGTACAACTACACTCACTGTTTTGGGAGCTGTTGCTGTCTGTTCCAAGACCTGTCTCTTAAGCCCACATCACACTGTCTTTAGTTCATAAGCTTTATAGTTGGTAGGTAGGACCAGCCTTTCTCATGAGAAGTGTTCTCATTCTTCATGCTTTTAATTTTTCCAAGTGAACTTGAGAATTATTCTGTCAGATACCCAGAAAAATAAGGAGACTCCTCTGAATTTTGAATGGAATTGCTTTAAAACTATAAATCAATTTGGGGAAGTATTAATATCAGCTTATTTATAGTATGTATGCTTCCAGTCCCGAAACACACCTTATCTTTATTTGTGCAAGTCTTTTTTTTTTCCTCCATATTATTTATCTGCTTGTCTGCTTATTTATATTTTAGAGTATGTTTCATCAGTGATTTCCAGATCACAGACTTTGAGTCCTTTAAAGAACTACTTTATATGCATAAGGCTTCAAAACAGCATGGGGGAAAATCACTAATAAAGTTGAGATCCTTTGATCTGCGATCATTAGGGAAAATACATCAACAAGTGTCTTCACTTTTTCTTTGACTTTAACCTGTGTATTTTATACAAAGAGTCTAGGAGTCTTTCCGTGTTATTTCTGCATTCCACTCGACAGCACAATCTTAGGACAGGCACATTTCCCCATCTCATCTCATATGAAGTATTAAACTGTTTGAGAACAGGTCCCTCTCTTTTTAAAGTAAGATCTACAGTAAGCGTCTGCTTCCTGACCCCTCACAGAGCCCCCTGCAAGCCTCGATCCTTAATGCTGAGTTCATCTGGCACCACTTCTGGGTGAGGAGGTGATAGTTCTGGGAGAGCCACCCTTGCGCATCTGATGCACCCAGAGGGTCAGCAGCCAGAATCTCAATTCACAATACCTGACTCGGAACACAGGCTGTGCAGACAGCAGAGGAGCCAGGCAGGTGGGAGGCCCATCACATGACACCCACTCCCCATTGCTTGTTATCATTTAATTCATGGCCAGCTTTGGAATCCAGCAGCTTCCTTCAGCTCTGCGGACGGGGGCAGGGGTAGGATTTGGTTTGCTTTCATTTATTTTCTTAATGGCTACTGATACACATAGTAAAATCTACCTTCTTACTAATGTAGGGGAACTTAATAAGCACCCCCGAACGACTGTAGCAGTTCATTTGCTCATTGAAATGTGTGGAGTGCCAGCCCACAGATGTACTGCTAACCCCAGTCCATTTCAGGTGTTTCTTACTGTCGTGTATTATGTTTAGAAACCAAAGGGCTTTTTGGTTCTTGTTCACAAGCTGGGAAAGGGGGGGGGGGGGGGGGGGTGAGGGGCGTTGTGTGAGAATTTATAGAAAGAGAAGACATGGTTTGGACAAACTTAGTTGTGTGTGTGTGTGAGTAATTTTTTTCAGTTCTGCCTGGCAAAGAGGTTTTTCTCATAGCTTATTCATTTTCATTTGGAGCTAGTAATAGCACTTCTTTTTGTAGGGAATCATCTCTCCAGCACACACATACACCCCCTCCCCAGGCCAGGATACTCCAATTCAGAAATGATGTCCTTCTTCTTCAGCTTTTCACATTAACCTTTTTTGAAGATAGGAAATTAAGATCTGAATAATAGCTTTTAATACTAGCCCCATTTAAAAACAAAAAGTGAAATATCTTTTTTTAATTAAAAAATTTAATTTAAACAAAACGTAAAAAATTAAAGTGGTATGTTGACATCTTTAAGGTACAAAAATAAACACTTGCATTCTATTTTATGACTTTAACTTTCACAGCCAGGTGGTATAACTAACTTTAACTTACAGCACTTTCTACCTATTAAATTTAAAGAAGCTTTCATTTTTCATATAATTTTTAACTGAATTTTTCCAATAAAAAAATTAGATCCCGAGAAAAACCAGTGTTTGAAGATTATTAATTCATAACTTGGTAGTAGGAAAGGTTGAACAAGAGTCCAAACTGATGAATTGGGATTGTGTAATATTTGGATAGCCAATTTGCTTTAAAAAAAAAAAACAAAACTAGGTTGCCAAAATACTAAATATGATACCGATATTTAAAGTAATTAGAATAGAAAATAGGAGGTGGCCAGGTGGGTATAAGGTACCAGTGAATTTGGGGTACCAGTTAGAGAAATGCTAAAATTTAAAGTTCATGTAGACACACATGCACACTTTTTTTTTTTTTTTTTTTGGTAGCTCTCTCAGAATCATGTGTTTATAGTCTGGCCAGGGTTGTGGCCTCAGTCCTGCCCCTTAAGAAATGGGATCTTTGCCTAAAAGTTATTGAGAAATGAAGACTGCAGAAAGCCAAAAAATGTCCAGGCTTTTCATGCACACTGACAGCCAAACAGAATGCTCTTTCCATTTGCAGTTTTTTTAGTGTCATTTTAAGTTGCAGCTTCCGGCCAATCAGCGAGCCCCGTGCCTGCTGACATCACGAACCAGCCAGTTCCCTCCAGCTGCAGAGAGCTTCAGTTTGTCTTTTTTTTTTAAACTAAAATGGAGGCTGGTTTCTTGCCTTAAGGAGTACATTGCCTTTCCCGCTGAAGTCTAGATGTTGACATGTAATAAAGCGGGCAGCAGGATGGTGTTGGATGCGGCCAACTCCAATGGGCCTTTCCAGCCCGTGGCCCTTCTCCATATTCGAGGTAAGTTATTGTGTGTTTCACTGAAACGGAACCTTCTGTGGTTAGTTAATAAATGGCTATTGTGCTTCAGATAAGAAAAGCAGGAAGTCCTTTCTAGCAGAATTCACCCCGTTTTGCGGCAGACCTAACCAGAGGAGGCTGGGTGTGTCACTGCAATTTGGCATTTTACGAACTACTTACAGAATTTGAGTCTTGAGGGAGGCCTTGCATGCATAGTTCAAAGCTGGTTTTTCTGCTTTCTGCTCGCTCTCCCATCCCCCTTTCAGAGCCGTGCTGATGTCAAAGGATGTGAAGTCACTGCCCGGGGAAGGCATTGGGCGGGGGGTAGGAAGGAGAGGCGGGCGGCACGCCTGGCCAAGTTGTCCGTGCGCAGAGTTTCTGTTACATCTGTGTTGCTTAACACCCTGAAGGTTTCACCGGGACACACCTCTGAATTAACGATGAATTGCAGTCAGAAAATATGCAGAAATGATTAGAAAAGAACTTCTTTAAAAGGATTGTTTTCGTTCTTGCCCTGGAGCCTAAAAGAGAAACAGACTCGTGCTTTGAAATATTGGAATCCATCGTGGGTCATAATTTCTGAGCTGTTAGCGTTTTTATTGAATAGTAGGAGATACTTTGCACTTAAATAGGCTTTGTATTGACATTTGCCTTTAAAATTTTAAATGGCAACAAGTTTTCGATGAGTGTATAGATCACTTTTAATAATTACAGTTTGCCACTTGTAGTTTATACAGAACTGGAGTTCAGAATTTAGCTTAAAACACAATTAGCATAGTAATTAATAATTATATTAAAATATAGGTATCAGGATAATCATATACTTTTTCTTAGCATTTAAAAGTATTTGTTATACAGATTTTTTGTTCATAATTGGGTGAAGTAGAAAATGGATGTTAAGCTTCATCATATCACTTTAAAATTTATACAATATCACAGCTCTGTCCCTAACAGAACAGTTCTGTCAGAATCTCCTTTAAGGACCCATGTCAAGGAAGGGAGGGGGCAGGATCTCTAGGTGACTAATAGTCTGTAGGACTAAAATACCAGACAAGATTTTTCAGATCCTAGGGTGTTTGCAGATAAAGGAGATAAAACCGCATGAATACCCAGTCTGTTGGAATAAAATGGGTGTTGCTTTTCTCTCCAAGCCCACTTGAAAGAAGCTAGTGGAAATTAATGTCCACAATGACCAACCTGTAGGTCACATTGTTTTGTAGTGCACCCAGGAAAGAGCAAATGTTGACCACAGATGGCACTCAGGTATTTTAGTTGCAGGAGCCAAATGGGCAAAACCAAAATGTAATTGTGTTTCGATTTAAGTTCTTAAATGGTGACTGACTAGCAAAAAGAAAATTTTATAGCATATAAAATGTGTATTTTGATACTTTTAAGGTATCTTCATATAAATAACAGATTGTTTTAGTTTGAGTTTTCTGATTTCATTAAACACTTAATGTACTAGTCATTTTTTGAACTATGACTTTATTCTGAAATGGAATTGTTTGATTTTATATCTTATACCACATTGTTGTTGTTGTTTTTAATTCCAAGACTTTACTGTGACCAGTTTGAATTTTTTTGTTGTCGGTTGAGTGGTTGGTTGCTGTCTAATTGTGAAGGGGAAAAGTAGTGAAGCGTATTAACCTAAAAGAGACTTGAGATTTTAAGAAGGGGTAACCTTTAGGGCCTAAAACTAACTTCTGGGTCAAACAGTGAGCTAGCTAAAACTTGAACGCTTGATTTACTCATCAGGACTTTTTAGAGCAAGCATGTTAATGTGTGGTTTAGCAAAATTTATTTTGTTTGTATTGGCTTTTAGAGTCTTGATTAATTTAATATCCACTATGCATCTCCTCTGTATGTCCAGTGCTGAGGGTCCCCACCCCAGAGGAATGGATGGTTTAGTGGGAGACCCACACAGGGGCCCTGGTGCAGGAGGGGCACAGGAAGAGCTGACTCTGGGCAGGTGCTAGGAGAGAGAGCAGGGGCTGATGTGATCATGATGCTGGGAAGGGGAGGGGGCAACACTGAGGCTTACCACTGACTCAGGGTGCATTTAGAGAAGAAGGGTCTTGCGCACAGAGGTAAAATAACCAGCCCAAGGTCACTCAGCCTATAAGTGGTAGGGCCAGAATCCAAACCAAGGCAGTTAAACAAACCAAGGCAGTTGTTTTGTTTTGTTTGGAATCTTTAAAAAAAAAATTTTTTTAATTTTAAAAATAGAAATTTTGGCTGTTTGTAGAAGCTTTTGCCACAGGATTATAATAGCGGGTTTTTCCCCAGTGTCTTATCAACATCCATGCGTTTCAGTGGCCTCTGGTATATGACAGTTTTTGTGCCTAGGGTGCATTTCTTCATTCATTTTACAAATATTTGTCAAGTGGCTACCACCACGTGCCAAGCAGGTACCTAATTCGGAATATGAAGCAAGCACTGTGGCCCAGCTTTCAGAGTTTACAGCCCCCTGGGTGGTGGGGCAGTCAGGTAAACAAATCAATCAATACGGTCACTAAACTGGTGAGTAATCCCAGTTGGTTTGATATTTATCTCCTATTACATAGTCTAGAGTTTGCAGCTAATATAGTGAATTAGCATATCCTAAAAAGTCCAAGTGTGACAGGAACATGTTGCTGAAAAGTCTAAACTTTTCTGTCTGTAGAAGGAGAAGGCGTCACCTGGAGGAACTTGATGGCTGTAAATTTAGCTTGATGACTTAAATCCTGTACTTCCAGGGCTGTCCGAGAGAACTGTCTGCGATGGCGGGAATGTTCTCTGTGCTGTCCACTGCAGTGGCCCCTGGTCACATGTGACTGTTGAGCCCTTAAAATGTGGCTACTGCAACTGAGAAACTAAATTTTTAAGTTTATTTCATTTTAGTTATTTTAAATTTAAATAGACATGTGTCTAGTGGCTGCTGTATTGGACAGCACAGTTCTAGACTGGGATCGAGAGACTTTTTCAGAAAAGGCTGGAAAGTAAATATTTTTGGCTGAGAAAGCAGCCATAGGTAGGCATGACTGTGTTCCAGTAAAGCTTTATTTACAAAAACAGGTGGCTGGCCAGATTTGGCCCCTGGGACATAGTTTGCCCACCCCTGTTCTAGACTATTCCTTGAATTTTAATTGCCTGTTAAGCGTAGTAAAATATATTTCACTTCCAGAGCCAGGTTTAAGGCAAGAATAGCCAAGCCAAAAAAGATGTTACTGGCCAGAGAGGAAGAGAGCGACCTCCATCCAGTGCCAGCTGGCTTTTACTCTGGCCTCAAGCAAGTTGTTAACTGCTCCGATCTTGTGGTCGGTTGGTGAGTCCTGTCTCTGAAAGACTGAGGAGTAACCTCGGCCTGGTGGGTGAGTCCTGTCTCTGAAAGACTGAGGAGTAACCTCGGCCTGGTGGGGAGCTGGCGAGCAGATTATTCTCTGTGTAAACCCATTTTTCCTGCGGAATGGAAGTCTGATTATAGAAGAGTTTGTTTTCTCACAAGTATTCCTGAGTCACCAATTCAATGAAAGTCTTTACCTTTCCAAAAAAATTTAGAAAAGCAAGAGCAGGGGGCAGTGTAGGGTGTCAAACCCGAAGGCTTCCTTCCCCGCTGCAGCCCGTCTGATGACTTAGCCAGCACTGCTGAACACAGCTGTGCACGTGCGCGTGCACTTGCACGCGCGTTCCCAGGTGTGGGACACTCCTGCGTGATCGAAGTCAGTGAACGTTGTGAGGATGGATGCCTAGGGATGTCCTCATTCCCAGAACTAGGAAGGAAAAATGTCATTGACGACCAAAAACAAAGACCCCTCAAGAGATCAAACCAGAGATTCTTTCTCAAGGTGTTTACTCCACTAACATCTGTGTGTTTTGTAGCTGTCACTGTCTGTGAGGTGGCTTTTTAGAAGTACACCTTTAAAGCTACCTGGGATGAGCCTGTGTGAAGTTGTTTTCTCTTATCATTCCTGCCAGTGAGGAAGGAAACCAGAGTAACAAATAACTCTCTGGGGGGTGCATGTCTGTGTTAAAGCCTGCACAACTTTTGTTAATTAGTCTTCCCTGAACTGATCATGACTCCTGCCTTGCAGCAAAAGCTAAACTCCTAGAATTTTTTCATTAAAAGATGTTAATTGTTTGGAAGAATGAGACAAAAGTAAAGAAGCAAGGTTAGTAGTCAAGAAAAGGGTGTGTGTTTTTGAATCTAGGAAAGGACCGTGTCTTCGAAGGCACAGAGGTTTGGGGTATACCCTACTCCATTTCCATACATCAGGTAGCACTGCAAGGTGGTTCTCCTCCTATCCGACGGCGACCTGCCAGATGTGATGCGCTTTTGTGAACACTGCCCGACTTGTTCCTCCCAGCATTCCTGCCCGGGAGGTTGGCCGGACGCGTCCTAGTCACTCCTCCCCAAGGTTACCAGGCTGTAAGGCCAAGTCCAGGGCCCTTGCCCCTGTGTCAGCTACACGTCCCCAAGCCGCTGCTGGTGGCCGTCCCAGAAGGAAAGGCAGCCACATATGTCATCTTCTGGTATTATCTTTTTGACCTTTTTTTGGAGACCCAGCTAAAGCTGGCCTGCAGTCTTTGGGGAGGCTCTGGATTTCCAGGTGATAAGATGAGACAAAGCACCCTTCTGTCAGCCCAGCTCCTGGCCATGCAGAGCATCCCAGACCAGAGGCCGGAGCAAGGGGTCGGTGCAGGCAAGACCTCTGTCACCCACATCTGCTTCCAGACAAGGCCCACCTCACCTCCTCTTCCCTGTCAGATGGGAAAAGTACCACCAAGGATGCGGAGAACTCCAAAACTGGGGTAGTTTCTCTCACTAATGTACTCAAGGAAAAATCTTTCTTATTAATCTTGGAAAGAGATGGCTAAAGTGCACAAGGACAAACTACTACAGCAAGAAAAATCTGGTTTTGTTTCAGGCCCTTGAATTATTCGTAAATCAAAAACCCCTCTAGTTAAAAAGAAAAACTAAAGAGATGTAACAGTCAAATATAGTGAGTGAATCTGTATCAGATCTTTGTTCTAAAAACAAAACAAAGTAAAATCAAGCCTGCAGAAGACATTGGTCGAGTACAGAGCGATGTGGGACGCTATGGAATTACTATTAGTTTTAAAGGGATTGTGATTTGTAGACACTGTCCTCATTCTTAGGAATTGCAGACGGAGGTATTTAGGGGTGAAGTATCATGATCTCTGCAACTTACTTCAAATAACAAAGTGAAAAATAAATGTAAAGCAAATATGCTAATATGTGAACAGTTGGTGAATCTGGGGAAGTGGGTA